TTATTAAATTGGAACAAAAAAATATTTTTTAAAAATTGCATTTAAAGTTTTTTACAAATGAAACTTTTTTTTATTTTTTTGTAATAATTTTTTTAATAAAAAAAATTCTAAAAATTTTTAAATATTGGCTAACTTAATTTTCATCATTTTCTATGAAATATTAACAAAAATAATAACAGTGTATACTAAGTACCATAATTGTATATTTAATTATTTTAGGACTAATTTAACTTAACTTGCAATAATTTGAACTCCAAAAAAAAAAAAATAATTAATATTCTAAATCTTAAAATAAAATTTCGTTTTATCCAAAAATTTTCCTAAAATTGATAATAAATTTCCGGTGACGAAAAATCTTTAAAAAATTCATGAAAATAATCCCTCTAAACTGACAAAATAAAGCAATAACCCGACCCTACACCCAAGTACCGTAAATAAATAAAAATGATGGTTGTACAAGTTTATAAATTTTTCTACTGCGCAAGAATAAACCCAAGTCTGCGTCGGATCTCCTCCTCTGTATATTACTCCGGTATGAAGAAGATTCCTGGGCGGAGCAGGCGTTTCGCGCAAGTACGAGCATTGTCTTAAGACACTAACCCTTTTATTCCTAGACAAGCTCCTATCCCTCATCTCACCTCATTTGGAAAAAGAGAATGATTTGAAACCAAGCGAAAATTTTTCCTGAAGCTGTCCATCGACAGCGAGATATGTAATCAAAGCTTGATACTCAATTCTCGCGCAGTAGACAACAAAACCTAACCCGAGGAGTTGAGTTGAGTAGAGAATAGAATATAGAGAGTAGAGAGTACGTATGACTCTAGAAATAGAAGCTCCGCCTCCTAGAAACAGGCATTTAACTTGGCCACCCACTCACCCAGCTCTTACCGGGGGTAGTTATTTCTCTGTCCCGCTTAATGCTGCACTTTCACGGTGTTTTATCCTCCAAAGCTTGAACCCCTCCACGAAACCGCGGAAACTCTCATGACTGTAGCAGTCTACTGTGTTATGTCGGGGCGTGGTGATGAGGACTAGGGAGGAGTCCTCCTCATTCCTCTTCCCTCTTTTTTCCTCAAAGTCATTTATGTGTAACACCGTTAGACAGCAACTGTTCCGACACTTTGCCAATATTACGAGCAAGTGAACTAGCCAAAGAGCAAAAGATAAAATACCGGTATGCAATCCACAAAAAAACATTTTATAGTTTTTATCAAAAGCTCTCTACAAAGAATAGTTCAATTTTTTTTTTTTTTATTAATAACAGTCTTGTAGTTGCTTGCCAAAATAATAAGAAATACTTTAAATAATTTTTTTACTCTAAACTCAGATTTTTTGTAAGATAAAAAAAATTAGAAAATTTTCTTCACACAATTTAGATTTTTGATAATTATTGAGAGTATATTTTCTTGGCTGAATAATTGGTCGAATTAATTAAAATAATTTTTATTCAATTCAAATAAAATTTTCAACAATCTAGAAAAAATTATTTTTTTGACTGAATAAAATATTTTAAAAAATAAAAATTGTTTTGTTTTAAGAAATATTTTTTGCTCCAAAACTATTTAAGTTTTTTGAAAAATTTTGTAGATTAAAATGAACAATTTTAAGTTTATATTCACATCAAAAGAATATTTTCGCACTAAATTTTTAGACTATTACTTATAAAAATTATAGAAAAATCACTCAGCCTAAATTTCTTTAAAAGTAATGCCTTTAAAATTTTTATGAAACTGAAACAAGATAGTGGATATAAATATCAAAAAGGTCACTTAAAATTTGCGGTAATAAATTATTATAACTTGTACTCAAATTTACCCTTTTAGAGCCTATTATTATTATTATTATTTCTTCAATTATTAGACATTGTTCTCTTACTCATAATTAGAACATCAGAGTTTTTTATTTATATTATTAAATCAATTCAAATAATGAAATTTCTTAAAATTGATCCTGTCGGTCTTTTGTATTTAATTAAGAAATAAATTTAAAAAAGTGAAGAAGAATGTGTGTGGAAAATAGTATGGGATATGTTAAAATATTGTAAAAAAGCAATGTACCGAAACAAGTGGTGAAATGTATGCCAAAAATTAAAACTAAAATTAATTTAATACTATGTAATTCACATAAAAACAAACTAAATAGAAAAACAGCGCTGCTTGTCTTTCTATTTAGAAAACATTTTGTAAAACTGCCTATGTGATACAAATAAAATCATCTTTTGTATTTAATATTATTATACATGTATTTTATTATAAAAATTGAATAAATAAATAAAATGTCTAAGATTTAATTATTAAAATTCAAATAAAAATGATAATTATTATTATAATTATAAATAATAATGAAGATAATATAAGTAAGGATGAATAAACATGAGATAGAAACTGATAAAAAAAAGAATACTAAAAAGATGAAAGAAGATGAGAATATTTGATGTGTGTAATTCAATAATTTCATTCCGTTTGTGATGGCGGTAATTTGAACGGTAGCTCGTTACTGCCTGAGCATATAATGAGTCTCGCGTTACCTGTCCTTTTTAAATTTAAACCTAATGCAGGAGTGAGAATAACAGAAGCAAATACACCTATACGAAAAATAATGAGTAATCTGAAAAAATTATACACGAAAGCATAATTATTTTTTATTCTCAGCCAGATTTTTTGCACTGAGACAAATAAAATGACAAATGATCCATTGATCGATTTTACTCGAGGAGAAGAAATAAAATGAAGCAGGAAGAGAATGGAACTAGACGAGTGAGAAGAAGAGGGTGAGAAATTGATGCCCGAATGCACGTACGTACATCTGAATCGGAAACGTGTAACAACGACCCTATGTACAGACATACACCAGTACAGTAGTAGTACCTACCATTCGTACCTACAACCTACAACTCTACTCCCAGTACGTATCTGTCATGCTTTCGAAAAGCACTTAGCCTCATTTGTATTCTTAGAGCGAAAATATTCCGTCCAGCGTCCTCCTCGATTTACCATAACCATAACGCACCACGGAATTATTCAATAATCAAATAAAAAATATTTTTTTGTTATTACTACTGCTGTCATTAATTTACGCTGTGGCTAAAATATTTTATTTAATTATGTAATTAATTTTTTATTGCTGGTAAGAGATTTTTAATAGTAAAAATTTTATAATTTATGTGTTAAATAATTATCAATTAAATTAAAAATCGCAAAATGTCAGCTGTCTAGTATAATAATAATAATAATTTTTTAATTAATAATAAAAAAAAACGGAATTTTTTCTTGAATTTTTTAAACTGCATAAAAAAATCTTTGAAAATTGTAATTATATTTGTTAGTTACATCAGTTGAAAGTTGAAAGTGTAGAAGAAGGTGACAGATAACAAGCTCGTTGGCATCGGAAGAACGCCAATTAACAGACAAAAGTGTTGGCATCCCTATTTTTTCGTTTATTTTCAACCCAGGCTTCAGACTACGACTAATTATTGCTGGTCAAGCAATTATTCCATACATAAATAAAAGAGTAATATTATTTATTTTTTTTATTTATTTATTATAACTCAAAAGTAACAATCACGAAAATTTTTTTACTCTTTAAAATCATTTTATTAATTATTTTTTCCGACAAATTTTTTACTGTGTCCCTTAATTATATAAGTATATCGGTGGTCTAATTAGCAATTTGTCTAACTCCTTATTTTTTAGAAAGTGATTTTTTAACATTTTGATGTAGCCAATAATCCAATTATAAATTATTTGAATGATTCAGACGTAAATATTATATCTCTATTAGATATTAATGATATTAAATGGTTATTTAAAGTGATAATAAGTTTTGAACTAATTATTTTTTTTCATACAAATAGAAGATTCTCTAAATCGGAGTTAGACAATTTGCTAATGAGAACGTCGATATAAAAAGTAGTTCTTATTAGCAAATTATCTGACTCCAATTTAAAAAATCTTCCATTTTTACGAAAATACAATTAATTTGAAATTTATTATCGCTTTAAAAAAATTCTTTAATCTATATTATTAAGAGAATAAGAAAAATTTTGTGTCCAGGATAGTCCTGGACACAACAAGATAGTCCTTACACTCATCTAGACTTTTCATTTGAGTACCCACATCAATTTTTTATATATTTCATATATTTATATATATATTACATATATGTATATATGAAAAATATATCAAAATGCATGTGGGTACTTGAATGAAAGCTCTTGATGAGTGTAACATCGGGATGAGCTTATATCTTTAAAAACATCAATAGTTAAGAAAGTACAGTGCAATTTAACAAAAGTCATTCAAATAATTTATAATTGGACTATTACTACATAAAAATGTTAAAAAATCACTCTCTAAAAAATAAGGAGTTAGACCAATTGCTAATTAGACCGTCGTTTTGTTTAAGTAAAAAACTACTAAATAAAAAAATGGATAATATAAATAAAATATAGAAAATGATAAATTGACAATTAGATATCCAATCGGGTATTTTGTCAGATTAAAACCGATACTCATAATAATACATAAACAGAAAAGATAGGTATGAAAGAGAGAAAGAGAATGATATATAGAGAGTGTGGGTTTATTCGCGTTATCAATTTCCTGACAAATATCTGTGTTTCCACGAGTACACACGTTACGTTCAATCCCGGCGTGTGTGTTTGTCGCGAGTAACAGCAAGGGGCAGAGGCTTGATGCGTGTAGTGCATATATTTATCCACATCCACACATATAAATATGTAGTACAGATACGGGGGGTGGACCTAGTGGTGCGTTTACCTTCTCCCCGATTTGTTAGCCGCAGAGGTATCGACTAGTTCGCTCGACACGTTTCATTTCGACATCATATTACGTCCGTTATACCGCGGACGCTTGAAATATTGCGGACTATGTCGTTATACACGAGCTAAAACTCACTGTATGTACACACTATAATACACTTAAACTAACACATTACCTATACTCCTCCAGCTACCACAACTATTACGAATACAACCATAACTACGCATCAACAAAACGATCCGTTCTGCTAACTGCTCCCCGTGATACTAATGTGTATTTATAATTTACTCGCTAATAATAATCATTACTTTTACTATTACTATTTTCATCGCTAATAAGTATCATTTATTTATTATTTTTTACTCGACTCAGCTTACCGGCTGCTGTGAATAAAAATACGACACTGGTTAGTGGTTAAGAAAATTTTGCAATCAATAGAAATTAGTCCGCTCTTTTAATTTATTTTTTTTTCTTTTTGAGAAAATCTGAAACTTTAATCATTTACTTTCACGAAAAAATAAAATCATTTTAAAGAAAAAAAATGAAAAAATTTTTTATTTAAATATTTGATCGATAGATTTAATTTTTTAAATAAAAAATTAATTAAATATTTTTGTTTTATTAACAATAATAAAAATTAAAAATTTGACTGACGTGACTTGTGAACTATAAATAAAATTTTGCTTTATTAAATAATGACTTTTGTTAAATTGCACTGTACTTTCTCAACTATTGGAATTTTTCAAAGATATAAGCTCATCCCGATGTTACACTCATCAAGAGCTTTCATTTGAGTACCCACATGCATTTTGATATATTTTTTATAAATACATATATATAATATATATAAATATATGAAAAATTGATGTGGGTACTCAAATGAAAGGTCTCGATAAGTGTAACATCGGGATGAGCTTATATCTTTAAAAATGTCAATATTTCACAAGATACAAGCTCATTTCTTAATTATGTATCTAGAGTATTTTCGAATGCAGCCTAAATACTGATCATAATAAATTGACTATCGGTGAGACTGATATGAAACTTTGAAGAGGCACAAATTCAAGTCAAGACCTTTGCAATGACACTAAATTTCACTAAAAAAAACCGATTTTATCATATGGCTATCCCGGACACAAAATTTTTCTTATTCTCTTAATAATATAGAAAATTTTAAACATATAAATAAATTTAATATTTTTACTATTAAAAACCAACAATTTTTTCCAAAAAAAAACATTCAAATGACCGTGAAAGTAAATAATTACCTGAGCGACAAAAAGACCCCCGGGTTGTTAAAAAAATAAAAACAAGAATTATTTAATATTAAAAATAAAATAAAATACGACCGGTCGGGTAAAACCGCGGACAAAGCGAGAATGAAAAAATGAATAAGAATTAAAAAACTAAAAGTATCCCACAAAGGTGAGGGCGAAATGAATGGCTCCATCATCTGGCAATTAAGGTACACAAATTCACCCGAACAGAAGCCACAAGAATATCATTTTTTCGCTACGGTTTTTTGTGCATAAATATTTCCCAGTTTTTTATCATATATATATTTTTTTTCATCAACACATGTCTCGTAAACATTTACGAATGTAAATATTATTATTATTATAATTTATAAAATAGAAATTAATCAACTTACGTCTGTAGGGTCGTCCTTCCTCGGGCGTAGACCGTTCGGTGTTCTCGGAACCAGGCGTAGCATTTGTGTCGCGATCATCATCATCAGGACTGGGTCCGCGATTAGAGGCATTAGTCGAGCCAGGGCCAGTGCCCAGGGGTGAACGACTCGCAGAGCCAGCTGGACTTTGCGGAGCTACTTCTTGGTTACTCGGACCACCAGGTAGTCCACCGGCGACTCCTGAAGACGGCAATGACGGCGAAAACATATTCGACATGTTTGACAGCGAGCCGATGCTCGCCAATCCGGATGACACACTCGAGCCTCCGGTTTCAACTTTTAGGCACTTACTTGGAGGCGCAAATGCCGACGGTCCCAGAGGAGGAAACGTTCTAAATCGTGGATCCAGAGGATGCAGAAATTGGTGTGGCAAGTGTAACATATGGTGAAGTCCGTAGCCCAGTTGCGCGGCGGTGCTGAACGGGACTTGCAGCTCCTTCGAATCGGTTACCTTTAGTTTTGATAAAAATGACATTTTATTATTTATTTATATATTTATATTAATTAGTTATAATCATTAGGCTTTTTTGTAACACCAGTCTGCACTTTTTACATGCAATAAGCGGCGAGGTTAATAGTTTGTGTTGTAAAATTTACCGTTAAAATAATAACTTGATAAATTTTAACTACTCTATATAACTAAAGTTATTAACGTTCATTTGATATTTTTATTGCGTTTAATTAATGTACTATTCGGAATTCTAAATCGTTTATTGTTAATTATCTCTCCGGTATTAATAATTTTATTTCTTGTTTCTGTCATTCGAGTAAATTATTAACAATCATTATTTTTTTTTTTTAATAACTACTATGCAATAAAAATGTTTAAGCTTTTGCTAAATATTTTTTTGAATTTACTTTACACCATTCGGCAATTTTATATTATTTATTAATTACAACAAGTAAAAATAAATAATATATATAGTAAAATTAAATTGTTTTTAATACAGAAAATTTTTAATTCTAACTTTTAGTTTAATTTTTTTGTATTGAACTTTTTGTTCTAAAAAATTAAATTAAATTTGAAAAGATTGATGAAAAATTTTAATTTAAATATTAAATTGATAAATTAAACTATATTATTAAATTTATTTTATAAAATATTAGAAATTCAATATATTTTAGTCTGGAAAAAAATATTCTAATAACAATATTTGGATTATTACAAAATTTTCGCTGATAAAATTTTTGCGTGATAAAAAATAGCAATTAAAATTTTTTTAAATGTCGGCTGAAAAGAAATAAGATTAAAATTTCTGGCATTTAATCAAATGAACGTAAATCTTATAATAAATTAGTAATGTTATAAAATTTATTACTTGTAGGGGGATTGAAACATTCTTACAAATATATAAACCATAAACTGTAAGAAATAAATCGGGTGACATGCGGTGAGAAAGTAGTATTAATCTCAGTTTCTAAATCTGCATAACTTTTCATGCAATTACGAAAGCACGACTGCGAGGAAAGGGCACTAACTTGTGGATTGAAGGGTCTCTGCATTCGCAAGCCATCGGGGAGTCCCCCGGCCTGTGAAAACACGACCAAGGACGGTGGCGGGAGATGATTCGGCAAATATGAAGAATTGTCCATCTATAACAGACACCGATTTTTCTTCTGTAGTCTTCAATTAATTTTAAATTAAATTAAACATTAATAGTTAACTTATTAACTCCGACGCGTCGCGATCGGTGCGCGTTTATTATCTCAGACGTAGAAAAATTCTCTACAAAGAAAAAAAAATTAACTTGAATCAAGGAAATAATTTTGAACACTAATAAAATTTAACTTGATTAAAGAATTTTTTGCCTTGATTCAAAAAAATAAAACTTTCCCAAATTATTTTCTTGGTTTAAGAATTTTTCTCTTGATTCAATTTATTTTTTTTTTTTGTGTATGAAAATAAAAGTCGAAAACGATAAAAGATAAAACTGTGGAGCTAAAACGGAGCATTAAAGAGATAAATTCGCGTGTTAATCAGCAGGTAGGCGAATTAAAAGTATAAAAGCCGAAATCTAAATCAGTAAACAATCGATATCGCATCCGGCATTAACCAGCCACGCAAAACCAAATTGCGTGGACAAATGCTTCACCGCAATGGTCACACACAGTACCACCCGCATCATCGTGGTCGTTCCCCGATCACCCAATGCCAATGTATTAATGCCGGAATCAAAATCAAATTGGTTTTATATTACGTCCGCCGTCGCGGAGCAGTCACCATGTCACCAGTGTGTGTCCACAGCGGTTGAGCATATAATTGTCGTCATCACGAGCCATCGCCGCGGACAAATCGTTTCGGTTCTTGCCTAGGCTCATCAATCATCCCTCTTTTAATCGATCATTTAACTTTCGATAAACTACTATACTCTCCTATACCTTTTTTTTTACATTTATATTTATTATTATTATTCTTCTGTCATTACTATTATTATCGACATATTTTAACAACCGCAATCAAGTTGTAACCGTCAACTGAAAATGACACTGAAAATACCAGACAATTTTTATTCTTCAAGTAAAAAAAAAACTAAAAATTGATACAAATAATTTATTAAAATTAATTTATCAGATATTTAATAATTTTTTTAACAAATAAATTATTTAAAAGAAAATGAGAAGAAAAAATTGACATTTAGAAAATTAAAAAAATAAAAAATGTAATTTTTTAGAAATAATTTTTCGGAGTAAATTTATTTATTAAAAAAAATTGTAAAGTGACTGCTAACTTTAATGGCATAAATAATGTTTTTTCAATTATTATCACAAAAATAATTGAATTTTTGTTTTTAAAGTTAAATAATGAAATCAGAAGCTTAAAAATTATTTTTAAAAAATTTGGAACATTTTCATTTTACTAAAAACAAAAATTTAACATTTTTTTAAAGAAATAAATTACTATAAAAAAATTTTTTTTATTTGCAAATTTCATAAAAAAATTGATCGATCCGCAGAGCTATCTTCACTGCTGCTGCTACCCGAGCTGCTGCAGCAGGGTTCTTGTTGCTTGAATTCCGTCTCAGGAGCGACAAAATTACCATTATTATTACAAGCCTTCCCCGAGTCTTGTATCGTAGTCGTTGAATCCAACGGCTGGCTATAAATCGACTCAAAACGGGAGTTGTGATTCTCTAAATTAAATTCCTCGTTGTTAAAATTTCGATTCTGCTCTTTGTTTTCATCAGCAACCGGATTATCAAACTGGTTTCCGTTATTTTCATTGTCTCCGGTGATTTCGATGTTGTCGTTACTTGGCATCACGTACGCTGACGCATGCTGATTGTTATCAGTTCCAGCTTCCGAGTTCTGGTGGGTTTCTTGCTCCCGGTCCAGCTGATGGTGACTCTGGTGGGACTGCTTACTGTCCATCTTAAAAAATTCTCGGAAACTAGCAAAACGCTGTCCCATAATTACTTGATTCCACGAGCATTTTACTGCTCCGAGTCTTCAATAATTTTTTTATTTTTTATAATAATTATTAATCAACTCCGTTGATTATATAATTACTCTCTATTATTTTATTAATTTAATTATCAATTAATTAATAAACTTGTTGAAGATCCAATAACACTATTATATATTTTATTATTTTTTTTTAAATATATTTAAATGTAAACTTAAATATTGTTGATGAATTGGAACAGCTGTAAGCAGTATGATTTAAAAATTAAATCCCAGCAAACATTTTATTTGATACTCTCGATTGGTTGTCCCCAATGCTTCTCAATCTGTAAATGGACAATAAAAAAATAAAAAAAAAATAAAATTAGTAATAAAATAAAACAAGAACGAATGAGAAACTACTTTATCATCCGGAATGACTCATGCATCCTAACGTACTGAGAAAAAAAAGCACATTCTGTTATTGCTTATTATTATTATTATAAAAATAAAAATTTTTAAAAATAATAATAGTAATAATAGCAATAAAAATACCAATAATAATAATAATAATAATAATAATAATTATTATTATTATTGCTCTCTCAAATGTGCAAAAAAAAAAGAGGATAAAAAAAAATAATAAAATTAAGCAATAAAATAAAATAATGTAATTGAAACAATGAAATTTGCAAAATAAGTGAAAGTCTTAGATATTACGTATATGATATCAAAGTCAATGAAGTCATCGAGACGTATAAAATTATAAAAATTACCTTATTATTATTTTAATCTGTTTTTTCAGCTATCCAATGGTGGGGTATAAACTGTACTGTGATTATGATTATGCAAAACTGTAGTGATGAGTAAAAAAACAAAAACAAATAATAAAATGAAGGTGTCGTCGATGATAACAATATTGTTGTTGATAACGACAGCGATGCTGGTGCTGGTTATGTTAATATTAGCGGTGTAAATAAAGTAAATAAAGTAAATAATCAAGTCCTTGATTCTCTGATAGCAACTGCGGTTAAATCAGCCTGTCTGAACATGTTCTGACAGGTCGAGATTTTAAATACGCTATCTGTTAAATTAAATATATTCACTAACACTACCACTAACGCTTCCTCAATTATTGTGATTATTATAACTATTATTATTATGATTATCAGTATGGCTAGTGCTATTACTTTAACTATGACTACTCCTATCGCTATTACTTGTGCTCCTCTTCTTCGTCTCGGGATTTATCTTTTTTTTTATCTCGAGATCACACACGAAGAAAACTTTCATTATCGCGTCACTGCATTATATGGCCGAACAAAAAATAAATCTTCACAGGAGTGTCTTATTTATATTTAATTTTAAGTAAATAAAAAAAAACCCACCACACTGATTGCCAGACGCAGACTCTAATTTGAAGATGATGATTTTTAAATGACCAATCGATTATTTATTTATTTAAACTCGAGATATTTATATTTATTTTCACTCCTGTCAAGAACACTGGTTCTGATGATTCACTGTGAATTATTACGTTCAGCTGGAACTCTATTTAAGGATTATTATGAGAGATTTAATTGTTGTTGTGATAATACAAATAAAGACACTAGATCTGTTTAAGATGTTGTAAAAACACTTACAATGCGTCACTCGCCATTTTCATAAGTCTACGAGCTACAAGACACTTTTATTAATCAATGACGTGATCTTACACGAACATTCACAGCCACAACCAGCCAGCTATTCACTAAAAATTCCTCTGATTGGATAAGAGAAGGTGAATGGATCTCCAACACTCCGTTGGTAGTGTAAATAATAATAGATTATGAAAATGTCGGAAAATATTTTTAAGTCATTCGTCGTTGCTTACTTTTTTTACCGCTCGTGGTGCTAGTTGACGTTACTGATCCCCTTTCTTCTCAATATCCAGCTGTATCCAGTGTTGGTATTTTAATTGTTTAAAAGTTTAACCTCGGAATTGTAGAGGTAGGTCATGTACTGTTTGTTGTTAAATTATTTTTATCTTATGAAGGTTAATTAATTTTTTACACGAGTTGTGATTTTTTTTTATACTTTTTTTTTTAATTGAAAAATTCATTACAATAATTTGTTTTTTTTTGATAAAAAAAAAAAATCAAATTTTTTTCCTTAAATTATTATTATTAAGAAAAAATAAAATTTTATTTCAATTATTTTAAAATAGTAATTAATATGTTTTAATAAAATTAATTTTTATTTAAAAATAATTTAAAAATGAGAGGCACTTTTTAATATTTTGAACATGCGCGCGCAACTGAGACCCAATAAGCGCGCGGAATGATTTTCCCTCGTTTTTTGCTAGTGCGCATTTCTTCTGCGCCGCGACGCCACTGTCGATTGGGCTTTCTTAACGGTCGGATGTTCTTCTCTCCTTGATCCGGCAATTTTTTACTTATTTTCTACATTTTTATTAATTATCTTTCATAAACTTAAGCATAATTACGTAAAATAATACTTAATAAACTAGATTTCATAAAAATTTTTATAAATTATCGGTTATAATATTCTAATTGCGTCTAAATTTTTCATACCCGGCAATGCTATCAGCATATCGGCCAACAATGACTTTCAATTTTCATTATTCGCGATAGACATAATTTTTTTTGCAATTTTTAGTCGAGTCCGCTTAAAAAAATCAATAAACTGATAGTATCAATAATTAATTAATTATTTATGAAATACTAATAATTTTTTTATATTAATCATGATTACGTCGCGTAAGTATTTTTTTTTAAATGTCGTCTAGTTGACATTTTCATTCAGATTTATCGAAATTTAAATAAGCTGTCAAAGTTCGTAGTGAAAACATTTATTAATATATCTTATGTCAGTAATGTCAGTGAAGTGTAGTGTAGTGGAAAATGTTGGAGCTCAAGACAAGATTCTTAACTTTTTTTTAATTCAGTCATCCTTCTAGGTAATATATTATAATTTTCTCAAAAATATTTTTTTCAATTGAAATTAATTAACAATTTTTTTTTTTTTAAGGTAACAAAATGGAGATTCATATTACTTTTGGTGAGTCAATTTTAATTTTACAATTTCTTTAAAATTTGCGCCATGTTAAAGTAGCAGCGACATCTAGCAGGTTTTTTAACAGATAAATTCAAACTGAATAACATTAAAGTTAGCAGTCACTTGATTATTTTTTAGTTTTTTTTTGACGAATAAATTTGAAAAATTATTTTAAAAAAATTGCATTTTTTATTTTTTTAATTTTCTACACGTCAATATTTTTTTATAATTTTTTTTGCCATAATTTATTTTTCAAAAAAATTCTTAAAAATATCAAATATCTGCTAAATCAACACAAATGATAAATCAACCAATAAAATTCAACATAAATTTAAATTTATCAACTTTTAAATTTTATTAATAGTAACAGTAAATTAAATTTACACTAACAATAATTATTAGAACATAGCAAGTAATTAGAGTAATTTTTAAAAAAATCGGCGAGACAATTAATTTCATATATAGAACAGTATGAAAAATTTTCGAAATTAAAAACAAATTCATAAATACAAACGCCGTGGTGTATTTCGGAGAAGTTAACAGCCAAAATGGAATAATTAATAACCAACTAATTATTAGAGTCAAATCATTAAAATGAATTGACCTAATGCGATCGACATCCGGATGTCCTCCTCCGCTGACGCATAAAGTTATTTTCTCGTTCTTCATCCAAACTTTGTCTTCCGCGCTGTGTATCGTCTGCAATTTCAAAATTTTTTCATCATGAAATTAAAAAAAAAAAAATTAGGAAAACGGTTGACCCTAAAGGCCATCCCTGCAACTTCCCGCCAATTCTATACCTAAACACTTGAAATTGCACTTATGAAGTTTTAGAGCTCTTCGAGCTCATAAATACAATTTGTGTATTATTTTGAGCTCTCCGAGCTCAAAAAAATAGCTTTTGTATGCTTTTGAGCTCTTCGAGCTCAAAAGTTTGATAAAGCACTATTTTTTTAAATTTTCAAATGCAATAACTTTTGAACGAATTAACCGATTTTTACGCAGTTGGCGGCATTCTGCGCAGTTTTTTAAGCCTCATGAAGAATTCTGAAGTTTCAATTGGTTAAACTAGAAATTTCCGAGCAATTCCGAAAAAACACTTTTTTCGGTTTTCTTTCGATAACGATAATTCACGAACGAATCAACCGATTTTGACCGAACTTGCGGCGATCGACGCGGTTTTTTGATGTTAAGAAGTGATTAGTTTTTGAAATTGATCGGTAAAGCCGTTTAAAAGTTATTTCAAAAAAACCACTTTTGAAAAAATTTTTTTT